GCACAAATCACAAAGTTTGTAAACCAAAAAATAGCAGAGAACGGAGGACAGAAAACGAACGAACAGAGCAGCGGATCGGGCCAAGGACGTCATCCGGACAGAGTTAGACAGATCAGCGGCCGACGATCGGAGCAACGATCGGATAGACGAGTCACGATCGTACTCGCTATCGGAAGATGAACAGTCAGATGATCTGGATCCAGATCCGGGAGACTAGCCAGACGAACAGTGGAAGTAAAAACTATGTGTATGTGCGAAAATGGAAGTCCATAGAAATCTCGGGGTGTGAGGAGAGATTTTGTAGGAGTGAAATGTAAGCATTTTTTGAGAGAAAATCCAATAAAATCCATAGAGTTTTAAAACTCATAGATTGTTGAATATCTCAAAATTTTTAAAGACTTTTGAAAATCTAAATTGAATACTTCAATATTTTTAAAGACTTTAAAAAATCCTTATTGAATACCTCAAGATTGTTAAAGATTTTTAAAAATCCAGATTGAATACATTCAGATTTTAAAAATCTAAAAAAATCCAACAGCTTCTCAATTCATACACCCCCTAAGTTTTGTGTTTTTTGGAATGTGAATAATATTAAAATATACTACCTCCGTCCCGCTATATTCGTCCACTTTTGATTTTTGGAACTGTTCATCTAAACACTTTGATTCATCAAATTCTCTCAATGTGTAAGCCTAAATATAGTCATGTTTGATCTTGTTGGATTTGTCTTAACATATAGATTATTAATATATAATTTCTATAATTTTTTAATATACAAATTACAAGATAAAATGAATTAAAGAAGTGAATTGGATGATGTGTAAAAATGAAAGTGGACAAATACTCTGGGACGGAGGAAGTAATGACTTTTTCAATGTAATTCATATGTTTTTATTTTTTAATGTAATATTGCTGGTCATTGTTTAAGTAAATGTTCATTGCATCTGAATATTGTTCAAATTAAATGTCTACTATTTCATTAGACATTATCCAAGCATTGTTTAAAGAATAAAAAGTGTAACTAGTACATTAGAAAATGACATTTGTTTTAGTACTATTGTAATTTTTTTTGAAGTTTGTATATACACTCTTACTTTGTCAAAATTCTAAAGCTTCAAGATGATAGTATTAAGGATTAATGAAGCTAGGAGAAGAATTCAATTATCACTTATATAGTGGATGCACCCTTCCCAATCATAAATTGATGAAACAGATAGAAAATGATCTCAACTTCCTCATTATTCAAATTTTATGATGTCATGTTTGAAAATATTTAATCAATTTTAACATATACGGAGTAATATAAATAAAAAATGAGAAATTTACTTAAATAGCACTAAAACATAATGACTTTCCCTAAACAGCATCACATGTGTTTTTCTTCCCAATGTAGCACTTTTAGTCATTATGCATGAGTCATTATTCAAGCAAATATTCGTCATCACTGGATATTATGGACATTATTAAGTGTTATTTAGGGAATAAAACAATTTAAATGCTATGTAGGGAAATGACTTAAGTTTTAGTGCTATTTAGTGCAAATATTTCATAAAAAAATGTATTATGTGTACTTGATAATTATGTAAATATAATGAGAAATGAGGTCATGACTATGATGATAATCGAATTCTCGTTTAGAGTATATATAGTTTTGATGTCTAGAGTGAAGATATGAGCCTCGTGAGGTGCGTAAATCATTTCTGATGATCTATATAAATAATGAAAATAGAAAAGTAAGTACAAAATAAAGTTTAGTTCTGTAAATAATAAACAAGTAATTTAATTTGGAATAGACGGAGTAATTCAAACCAAATAGTAGAACCGTGTTTTACATCCATCCATTTGGTTGAGTAATTCTAAATTTGGAACTCAAATTTAATCCAAATTACATGTATGAGAATCTAAAATATCTGGATCAAATTTGATCCCGAGAAAAGTTCAATTACAAATATATATACTCTCGTATAGATTATTAGTACAAAGTATTATACACAAGCATGAGAATGCTTGTGATCTAATGCTTCTTTTATATATTCTTCTTGTGTCAATGCTATTAACATAAGAATGTGTAAATTAATTATAAAGAATAAGGTGAACCACACAATGCCTTATTCCACCCACTACAGTTTACAGCCAGCCATAGACAAGTTAGTAAAACCAATGGAATGAATGAGCTAATTAATCAGTCAACCAAGGTTGGCTGAGAGATTAAGAGCAATAAATACTCCCACACTAGTACCTAAAGCAGTAAAACAAAAGACTAGGTAAAGAAAGATGATCAAAGGCATGTTAGAGTGAAAGCATGTAGTTGAACAAGAGGTTCCACGTGTCAGGCAAGCCAGGAAGACACCAATGGCTGCAATCGGCCCCACCGGACTCCCCTTTCCCGCCATATGTGGATGGGTGTGCATCCTTTCGCATCGCCGACAGCCCGGTAATGTTGAGCAACAATGGCGGGCTCTTCATTCCTTTGATTACCTTCTCGATCACATCTTCAACTGGGTCAGGGAATGTATTTGGGTACGCCGCGCTAGGTCCGGTCTGTCCTACACAGCTCTCTGTTGTTGTCATTTGTGGCCCGATGTTCCATTGATCCGCTCTACACATAAAATGCCAATTCATATGCACAATAAGATCACAAATAGTATATACATATCCCTCCCATTCCATATTAACTCACCATTATGAATTTTCAGATGCATTGAAGAATAAATGGATGTAGACATGCAGTGCGTCTACATTCATTCATTCATTAAAGGACACTTAAATATGGAATGGAGAGAGTATAAACCAACTTGGAAGTTGAGAGCTGCTACAAGAAGTGATGAGGCTAATTCTTGAAAGGAGAAGCAAAAAAAGTGATTATAAAGCAAGAGTCTTTCCTCATACTCCTACACAAGAAAGAGGTTTAACACAGTCACACAAAGCATACCCGTAGTGTGTAGGGGAGATGGCCTGGAAGAACACTTTGGTCCTGCTGCTATCAACGTTATGATCAACCCAGCTTGCCCAGGTTCTCAGCCCCCTTTCGAGAGCTTCCATTCCATCCACATCATTCACCTGATTCACGCCGTACTCTACCATGTCCCAACTGCAGCAGATCAATCACCACATCTCATCCTCCATCCCGCTCTCTCAGTAATTTACTCGATGAAGAAAGAAAAAACAAGAATGGGAAAGAACAGACATACCCTCGGGTCGCGCGTGAATGGAAGTACCAGTGACCTGTGTTGAAAGAAAGCACATCTGCATCCCCCCATGAATTCCCATTCCCTCTTATGTCATCCAGCTTCAGATAATTTTTCCCCTGGTACATGTCTATATCCACAAGATATACTGCTTTGTAGTAGGAGATTTGCACCTTATACTCCTACACATGATGATTGATCAATACATCTGTCTGTATCAAACTAAAAGATTAGAACTAAAAGATTGAATCTAATCGATTACCTAGTTCATCTCAATTTCAAATTGAATCGAATCGATAACCTAGTTCATCTCAATTTAAAATTAAATCCAATCGATTACCTAATTAATTACTCTATTGAATGACTCTTATAAGCTCTAACATAAATTTAAGTAGTACTTACAGGGAAATTGGCAACAGATAATGGGTCGCCGCCGGCAACCTGGATTTGGGGTTTTGGAACAGAAGCTGAAATCATGCAGACCAGAGATTCCCACTGGTTGCGGCTCAGTGAATCGCCCACGAACATCACCTTCTTCCCGGCCATTCTGTTCAGGAATTCGAGCCCGTTAAACCTGCAGAACGCACGAGATTAGAAGAGAGGTTCATATGGGATAAATCATCCAGAGGCGGCGGTTGTACCGTACCGTGGTAGCTGACAGCCGGCGGCGGACGGCTGCCACCGATACTTGAGGTAATCGGCGTCGGGTCTCCGGCTGCACCCGAAAGTGGAGTCAATGTAGGGGCAATCGGAGGATGAGTACAGAGGGTACGATGAATCGTATACCCAGCTGCCGGAAAACACATCGCAGGACGGCAGGACGTTCGGCTTTCCTCCTTGCTGGATGCGATGGATGGTGCGTGAATCCCTCGTGAGGTACCACGCCGTCGCCGCCATTGAACTGGAATGTAGAGAAAGTAGCAGCCATAGGATTGGGAAAGATGATTGAACGACTTTGTGGGGATGCAGAAGATCCATGGAGAAATGTTAATTTTTAAAAAAAGGAAAAAGATGAGAAACAAAAAGAAGAGAGAGAGAGAGAGAGAGATGAATCAAACAAATAATGGCGTCTTGTGTGGGTATACTCTTCCGCCGGATCGACTCGAGATTTTGATACTTTTAAACCTACGTGATTTTGACGGTAATTATTTTAAAATGATTTGTAGTATATTTCCGCTTAGGAAAACCTAAGGAGTTGAAAAAGTTTTTTTTGAAGGAGATAAAAGTTTATGAAAAATACTCTACTTGTTTCAAAGTGTTTTATGTTTTATATGAAATGAAGTGAAATTTTATTTTTTTAAAATTCATTTCTTTCTAAAACATTCTACATTTTACGCTTAAATTTTAAAATTTATTTTGTTTAAAGATTGATATATAAATTAAAAATAAAAACTTACATATGTAAAAATTGAAAAATTCTTCTGTGGACTCAAGGTTCATGCTCACTTTATTAATCTTAGTGTATTTGTAGCATAAAAGAAATGAATTTTTTACGAAATTGAAAATATTCACATGGAAGCCCATAAAAATAGTGAGAAGACCTACATTTTAAATGTGAGTTTAAAAACTACATAAAAAATTGTACAACACATGATGTGAAAAAATATTTTGTTTTATCAAATAAATCAATTAAAATGCATAAATAAACAAAATTTTTCATGAATTTTGAATGATGATGGGTGTAATTCTTATTGGGACGAATGGAGTATGTAGGAATGCATTATTGAGAAAGAAATTGCCTACAAATAAAAAAGTACCTTTAATACCATTTATCCTAAAATAGAATTATTACAGTGTAACAATGTGAAATGTATATTGGTATTGCATAGCTTTTTTGTTATTATATATTGCTATTATTGATAGTATATCTCAAATTTTAAAAATAAAAACATGAAGACTCATATTACGTTTACTATCATTTTAGTCTTTACTAGTATCACACCCGTGCGTTACACGGCTCGCATTTATATTATTAAATTATATTCGGATCATTATTGAAGAATAGAAATTAATACATCATAGAATATAAAGTTCAGTATTTTAAAGGATTGAATATAAAATTTTTATCTCTATCACATTGGAATATGCAATACTAATATTGATAAAAATTAGATTTATTTTACAATCTCATAATAAATGTGAAACTTTTTTTTTACTTATTGAACATCTTTTGAATGAGTTCAAATTTTTAAATGGATGAGATATTGCACATTATTAAATTCTATTATGTTTGTCCTTACAAAACAATCGTTATTCAAGACTATTTGAATTCTTACCATTTATAGATAAGTGTTTTTTATTTTTCATTTTAGTTTATTTCATCAAATGATTTATTTTCATTTAAAAATATATACTAAAATATACTATGTTGAATATTTATTTCTTGCCATTTTTAGATGAGTGTTTTTATAATAAAATATATATTTCATCCATTGATTTATCTCCATTTATACTAAAATTCATACTAAAATATACTATGTTGAATATTTACTTCTTTCCATTTTTAGATGATATTTTTATACTAAAATAATTAATTTTACCCGTTGATTTATTTACATTTATATTAAAATTAACTATGTTGAACATTTATTTCTGAATATTTTTCAAAAATAAACCCTATTGCAAGGCTATTTACTAAACTGTTTATAAAAATATATACTAAAGAAAAGACACCTCAAAGTGAGATAAGGATGCCATTTTTGGAGAAAATAGACAATGGAGGTAAAAGTTTGAGAAAAAAGCCAATAAGCACCCGCACAACGAAACACCCCCATAATAAGCTCATTATATAATAAAAAGTTTATTTATAAAAAACTTTTCTAAGATAAATCTAGACCTCTAAATATATAATAAAAAGAATATATATAATGAAAAATAAAAATTCAAATAATATTATTCATTTCCCTTCTAGAATCTTTGACCGTGATTAATAAAAATATTTATATTTATTTATTTATTAAAATTCATATATAACAAATTTTCCTAAAATAAATCTAGACCATCCCTAGAAACTTGACCGGGATTAATAAAAATTATTATATTTATTTAATTATTAAAGCCCATGTACAACAAATTTTCTTAAAATAAATCTAGACCACACTTTAAATCTTTGACCATTATAAATAAAAATATTTATATTTATTTATTTATTTATTAAAGTCCACATGTAACAAAATTTTCCTAAAATAAATTTAGACCACTCGCTGCAATTAAAGAGTAATGCTAGAGTCACAAACAAACAGTTCACAAAATTCACAAACTTGCCTTTTTAGCATTTTCCTAGAAATAAGATGCACTTAAATAATAAAATATATTTTAATTTAAAATCCACAAAAGGCAAGTTTGTGAAGTTTGTGAACTATATGTTTGTGACTCTAGCATTTTCCGCAATTAAATGATGATGGTGCTAATCTCCATATATAAAAGCTCTTTATATTAGAAAAAATCCATATATATCAAATTTTCCTAAGATAAATCTAGACCTCTCCATATATAATAAAAATCATATCTATGATGAAAAAAGTACGAATAATCTTATGCATTTCCCTTTTAGAACCTTTGACCGTGATTGATAAAAATATTTATATTTACTAATTTATTTATTAAAATTCATATATAACAACTTTTCCTAAAATAAATCTAACCATCCCTAGAAACATTGACTGTAACTAATAAAAATATTTATATATATTTATTAAAGCCCATATATAATAAACTTTCCTAAAATATATCTAGATGCACGCCTATAAATTTCGACCGCGATTAATAATAATATTTAAATTTAGGAAAATGCTAGAGTTACAAACATATAGTTCACAAACTTCACAAACCTGCCTTTTGTGGATTTTAAAATATAATATCATTTATTATTTGAGTGCATCTTATTTCTAGGAAAGTGTTAAAAAAGTAAGTTTGTGAATTTTGTGAAGTGTTTGTTTGTGACTCTAGCATTACTCTTAAATTTATTTATTAATTAAATTATAAAGTCTACATATAACAAATTTTCCTAAAATAAGTCTTGACCTCTCCATATATAATAAAGAGTTCTAACATGTCTTTATTAAAGTCCATATATAAAAAAAATTTCCTAAAATAAATCTAGACCAACCCCTAGAAACTTTGTGTGTGTGTTCTGGTGAGAAAAAGATCTAATTAAAGAAATAAGAAAGAATAAGGGTCCTTGGATTAGCATCTTTCGCCGATCCTTACATTTAAATTCGGATGGGCATTTTGGTATTTTCGATTGGTCAAGATTTTCTCTTACCCATTCTTAGTTTCGTATTAACAAGGCATTAAATTCTCTTCTCTTATCAATTCTCAATTCTTCTCTTTTCACGCTCTCTTTCTTTAATTTTCATCAATATTTGCCATAAATCCTTTGATCTAGAGAAGTAATTGCAATGAGGACAATGAAAGCGATAGTTTGGAGAACATCATCACGAGGAAGATGATGAATAGTGAAGGTTTGGAAATCAACGGCATGTTGGTGGGCGATCTTGATGTTGATTCTAGCGACAAATTTAGAGTCAAATTATTTTAAGTTTTCTAGATTTCTAGATAGGCTTTAATATATCGTAATAGATCTACTTTAGAGGAGATTTGTCGATCGGGAATTGAACCCAGTCGCGGCGGTGTAAGGCCACCCAGTGGCAATTCAACAATCCTCGGTGGTGCTTAGGCCGCTAAGAGAAGGGCTCAAGACCTAGGCTTGAGCAGTAACAACGATGACTAGAGCTTTTAACAGAGGAGTGGTGGCGATCATTCTGTAATGCATTATGGTAAATTGGTGTTGCATTCGTGTCTTTATGAGTGCATTTTGTGAGAAAGTATTGAATTTTAAATATTATTTTGCTATTGTGTGTGGTGGTTGTGCGGGCCAACCTCACACCTACGAACGAGAACGTTTTCGGACTGTTGCCGACCGGAAAAATTGTAGGAGATCGCCGGAAAATTTGGCTAGGAAACCAAAAAGCTCTCTGGAACCAATAAAACAAAGAAAGTTAAGAGTAAATTCTCAAAATAGTCATTTGTAATAAGGTATTTTCCCAAATCAGTCCTCAATAAGTTTTAATTACCTACGTGGTCCTCTATTATCTTTATATATTAAATTTGAGAGTCAATCTCCTAGAATTGCGACAAGTGGCAAATCTGACAACATTTTAACAAATCACTGGCCACCTATTAACGATTGAATGACATGACAATTTTAATCAAATATGGAAAGATCGAATTTAAGTTGTATACGGAGTATATATCTTATGTACAATGTCACTATGATTATTTGGAAAAAATTACTCTATACCAGAATAGGAATATGGAGAAAATACCAAAATAAAAAATGCATTTTTTATCTCCAAAATAGGAACCACCAAACATTAAGAGATTCCTTAGTTTCAAAAAGAAGTTATTGGTAATGTATTTCTACCGACAATGTTTGTTCTATATATTAGGGTTAAAGTATACAAAATTGACAAGAAAAGTCAATTGAGAAGATCAAATCCAAACACAGAGGGAGTATTGATGAAGAAATTAGAACATACATGAAACTTTACGCAATTGAGTGAGAACTAAATTCTTTTTTTGAATAAAAATTTTAAAAAATCAACTTCTAAAATAATTAAAATAATAGTATAAAGTTTTAAAATCAACTTCTAAAATAATAGTTACATTTTTCACATAAAATTTTAAAAAGTTATCATGTAAAACTAATCACATATATTTTACATACCAAATTTTTTTTCACTTGATATGAATTTATTTTTAAACAACAAAACAAATATAGTTACAAGGGTTTTTACAAAGAAAAATTACAAAAACATTTTAAAATATTCATAGGTATTTCACTTTTGATTTCATTGAAGTCACAACTACTACTTTTTTAAAAAAACACAAAAAATATTTGCATGGGATATATACAACAAAACAATATTTGCAAAAAAACGAAACACGTATTTTTCATACGCGAATTTTATCAAAACTAGTATCACTCTCGTGCGTTGCACGGCTAATATTTCCAATATAAAATTATTTAATTGCGTTAGTATTGAAAAAAGTACAATAAAAAAAAATATCTTATTAAATCAAAATATAAAATT